ACACACACACACACACACACACACACACACACACACACACACACACAGCCTAGCTGTGAAGACACGTGTAGAGTTACAGAGAATAGTGGCTACAAAGCTGAGAGAGAGAGAATTCTGGGATGCTCTCCAGTTCTTGAACCTACAATCTCAACACAGACCTTGTCTATCTTTAAGAAAGACAAAATACAGTTATGAGATTTCTGGGTGTTCTTATAATGAATCCTTCTTTTTTGGGCTTATTGTAAAACTGACAGACTTCTATGAACGATTACCATCTTCTTAATGAACAAGGGGCAGGACAGATTCAAAAAGGACATTGGCAGCAGAGGGAATGGGGGTCTTTAGTAACAGGGAACTTTCTTCGAAAGACAACATTTGCTCAATGAGTTTTGAATACTGCTGTAATAGGGCAGGCAATTGCAAAACATCTGAGAGCTCAGAATGTCTAATGCTTTGGCTATAGAAGACCAGGCCACTGCCTAAAGGACTGCATACAAACATTTCCTAAGGATAAATTTTTCTTTAGTGATAATCCAGAGAGAAAGCTTCCTGGATATGTAAGCAATGTGGAAAGGGCAGACAGGGCTTATGAATGTAGATCATCCAGATATGTATGAGGCAATTCCTTACAATTGGGAAACAGCCTAAGAGGCTTTGCTCAGGCCCTGCCCAAAGACAACATGAGCCATGCATTCCATGTCAGCCAAGGACAGACTCTTCTAGAGAGCAACTAGAAAAATTAATGCTTGACATGACAGAACTGCTCTAAGCCTTGTTCTATCACCTGGATAGAACAAGAGATTCTGAAAATACCAGAAGACAAATATTTTGGGAAACTGCTATGGATTATCAGAGGCCGAAGTTTAAATTACAATTAGATGGAATTGAGATTGAAGGCCTAGTGGATACCAGAGCAGATGTAACAATAATTTCATAAGATTCTTGAAATCCAACTTGGCCACTTCAAAAGATATCTACACAGCTCCTAGGAATTGGGACATTATTTCAAGTCTGCACATCTCTAGAGTTTGGAACATTGTCTCAGGTGAAACAAAGTCTAAAATGGATTAAATGTTTAGGAACAGAAGGTCAGATAGGAAGATCAAGGCCATATGTGGCAGATATAGCCATAAATTCATGAGGAAGAGATCTACTGCAACAATGGAAAACAGATGAGCATTCCTCCAACTTCAGGGACAAGCCATAAAATAAGATGTGCTCCTGATAAAGACAGTTACAGACGTCCAGGCTGTCAATAGGCAGGACACAGCAGAAGTTGGCTCCCCAAATTTATAAGGATGACCACTCACTGCTGATGAGAGTACCAACTGTCCTACCATCAAGATGGCTAACTAACAAGCCTATTTGGGTAGAGCAATGGCACTTAAGTGAGAAAAAGGTACAGGCCCTAGAACAGTTGATCCAAGGGTAGCTGAAGGCTCAACATACAGAAGAGTCCACCAGCCCTTAAATTCTCCTAATTTGTCGTTAAAAATAAATCTGGAAATTGGAAGCCATTAACATATCCGAAAGCAATCAAGTAATTCAGCCTATGTGTTCCTTACAGCCTTACCCTTTAACTTCTTTGTTACTTCAGGCATGGCCTGTTACGGTGATTGATTTAAAAGACTGATTTTTGTTAGTACCCATTGAAGAACAAGACTGGCAAAAAGTTTGTTTTCACTATGCCCACATTTAAGCATCAAAAGCCAACTCAAAGGTGCCATATATTTGTAGAACAACCATTAGAAATAATTTGTAAACAGTTTCCTGAACCTTTAACTTATCATTATATGAATGATATCTTACTGGCTGACTCCAATAGATACTTAGGAAAAAACTGTTTGGTGTAAAGAGAATTTTTCCTTGTTGGGAATTACAAATTGCTCCTGAGATAAAAATACAAAGAGGAAACTGTTAATTATTTAGGCTATAAGATAGGTGCACAGAAAATCCAGCCACAGAAGGTACAGATCAGAAGAGATTGATTACAAACCCTTACAGATTTTCAAAAATTACTGGGAGATATTAATTGGCTACAGCCCACAATGGGATTAACTAGTCAAGAGTTAAGTAATTTATTTCAAACCTTACAAGGTGATTTGTACTTAAACAGTAAAAAATAAGTATCAGCTGAGCCTGAGAGAGAATTGGCTCTGGTAGAAAAAGAAAATTACAGGACGCACATGTGGATTGCTTGGATCCAAAGATGGATTTTATTTCAGTTATTTTGCTGTCTACTAATTCTCCCACAGGAATTCTTATGCAGAAAGAAGACAATATCTTAGAATGGATATTTTTAGCACACAGAGTAAAGAAATTAAAAACCTCAGAAAAGTTTTCTGAATTGATTGTGAAAAGAAAAATAAGACTTTGTCAATTATTAGGGACAGACCCAGCTGAGATTATGGTACCTTATACTAATGCTGAAATTACCTCATTATGGGTAATCAATGGGATTTGGCAAATAACTTAGTATTTTTTTTTTAGGAGAAATTAAAAACAGATACCTCAAAAGCAAGCAACTTCAGTTTATGAAAAGAACTAATTGTATTCTTTCTTGTATAGTGAGAGAAACATTAATTTCTAAAGCACCCATCTTTTCTACAGATTCCAGTAAATCAGGAATAGCAGATTATATCAGGAAACATAAGTAATTCGAAGCCTATATGCTTCTGTTTAAAAGTCGAAACTACATGCTATTCTCATGGTTCTATTAGATTTTCCAGAATCTCTTAACGTAGTTACTGACTCTCAATAAGCAGAGCTGTTTTGCATATAGAAACTGCTGACCTTATTCCAGATGACTCAGAATTAACTTTTTATTTATACAAATACAAAAGGTAATTCAAATATAGAACTCATATTTGGTCTTATACAGGTTTGCCAGGTCCACTGCTACCAGGAAATGAGGAGATAGATGAATTATTATTAGAAAGTGTGTTAGAAGCATCAAATTTTCATAAAGACATCATGTAAGTAGTAGAAACTTAAAAAAAAAGAATTCCCATAACCATAAGCAAAGGAAATTATTTTGTAAATGCTCAACTTGTTCTTTATATAATCAAGCTCCATTACCTGCTGGAGGGAACCCCAAGGATACCCATGGAAATAAAATTTGGCAGATGAATATATTTCATTGTGCAGAGTTTGGAAAATTAAAGTATATCATTATAGTCAAAATGTCAATTGTCTTCTGCCGTGAGTTCTGAAAAGTCTGATTCCATAATTACATACTTATTAAAAGTGATAGCTATCTTAGAGATACCTTTACACATTAAAACTAGAAATGCTCTGGCATATGTATCCAGTAAAATGCAACAATTTTAAAAAATATTATAACATGAAATATGTTATAGGCATACCTTTCAGTCCTACAGGTCAAGCAATTATGGAAAGATCTAACTGCACTTTAAAGGGAATGCTTATAAAACAGATATGAGATCTCCCAG